AAGACTCGAGGAAATGTTTGTGTTGCTATCTCTAATTAGATTTTCCCTATAATTACAGAAGCAATCAGGCCAGAAAGAAACACAAATCAAGAAGGACACATCAGAGAAAACAGGTGATTACATGCATGGCTTGCTCATTTTGAAAAAGAAGAAGGGATGCTGAGGGTTTTTTTTTTTTGTGGGATTATTTGAGTCTTTTGAGGATTATTCGAGAAAAGTTAACATTCCAAAGTGATTATATGCATGGGTGTTCAATGTGGGGTTTTGTGTGATCTCTGACTTTGAGGATTCTTTTAGAGAAGCTCACATTTGTCTTCCTCTGTACAGATCACCACGACACCCTGATGAGAATCGGCAGCAAAGCAAAGGCAGCAATCCACTTAGAAGGTGAGTCACCGCTTACCTTTGGCAAACAATGGGCTCATGATCTCAGCGTTCCATTCTTGTGATTTTTGCAGACAGAAGTGTGTTACACGGGAGCACAATAAGACAATTGTTGCCTAAGTTATACGTTGGCCTTTGGCAGCCGTTCAATCCACTCTCTTTGTAGTAGGCCAGTTATCTTCTAAGTCGTGTTTCAGAAGGTGTGACTCTGCTTTCTCTTGGTGTTTTTAGGTTGGTATGACGAAGACGGTGAGACAAACCAGCTCGAGTGGAGAAGCGGTCAAGGCCAGGCGTTCGCTCAGGGCGGCTTCAAACTGGAGAACAACCAAATCATCATCCCACAGAGCGGCCTCTTCTTTGTGTACAGCCAGGCGTCGTACAGGGTCTCCTGCAGCGATGGCGAGGAGGAGCGAGGGGCGGGAAAACGTATCAAGCCTCTGAGCCACAGGATCTTGCTCTACACAGACTCCATCGGCGAAAAAGTGTCTCTGATGAATGCAGTGAGGTCGGCGTGCCAGAACACGGCACAGGAGGGAGGGTACAGCTCGGGACAGGGCTGGTACAACACCGTTTATCTGGGCGCCGTGTTTCAGCTCAACAAAGGGGACCGACTATGGACAGAGACCAACCAGCCATCGAAGCTGGAGACCGACGAGGGCAAGACGTTCTTTGGTGTGTTTGCACTTTGAAAAAAAGGTCAAAATCTGGGCACGGGGCTTAAATGTAGGCTTCTATTTTATTTGTAGAAATTCTTGACGTTTTATTTGTATTCATCCTCATGGTGATGGAGAAAGGTTCAAATCTCAATGGAGATAACGTTTATAGCCGAACAGGCTCGTTTTTAAAAAAGTCCTATGAACTGTAACAGTTTGCAACATTATTTGCTATTTGAGGCACTTTGTTTGTACATTATTTATGCCGACCTGAGATTGTAATAGGCTGGACTTTTCTCTGCTGTAACAGATGACGACACATCTCTTCACAAGAGAGTGTAGGTACAAGGATTATGTACAGACCATTTATTTGTGACATGTTTCATATTTATTTGTATTTATTTCTATTTAAACCGTTGGGATGAGGTGTTTAAGATTATATTTATATGTAATGTGCACGTGAACTAAATAAAAGGTCAAAAAGTGAACTAAAGGAGTCACGATTTTCACTTAAAAAAAAGATGAACTGCATGAATTTCAAAGCTGGGAAGCCAAAGAGAAATTGGGAGCTGAGTAAGCAAACAGCTCCAACCAGCCGAGGCTCACTCACACACAAACACAAACACAAACACAAAGACAGACACACACATACACAAACACACACTGCGGAGGGCTTGGTCCATTATTTGGCAAAAAGTCGCAGTGAAATTCCTCCACAGCCAGCAAATACTTCTCTTGTAAGATCAGACAAGCCGAAGGGAATTTCCTGCTTTTTCTGTGTCTTGCTAAGTGCTGTGTCAGGTGAAGGCCCGCAGAAGCCTCAGCCCAGAGCGGGTTTTCCCCAATAACACACCCCCCCCCACCCACTCCAACCTCCACCACCACCACCTTTCTCTCCTACACACACATACTCTACCTCTTCCACACCACCAAAACCTTTCCCCCCATTACCACATACCTCGTCTCCAGTCAGCTGGAAAGAAGCATGACATGGGAGGGAGTGTGTGTGTGTGTCTAAGAAACTGTACAGTGTGTGTGTGTGTGTGTGTGGGTGTGTATTGTGGGATCATGGGACTGCGGCACAGCTGGTTTGTTTTGTCACATCCTTTAAAAACACACACTATACAAACATTGCCAGTATTTAGGAGCAATCAGTCTTCTGTGCTTTCTTTCAAACCTCAAACATCCACTTATTGTCTCAGACACAAAAGTCCCACCGGCCTCACAGCTGCTCATTGTGCTGAAAACAGTGTCCAGCTTTATTTTTTTTTTTAAATCTCTTCCTCTGGGTTTTGATGCTCTCATTGACTCCTGAAGGCCAAAATGTAGAAATACATCATGTTTCACTGTCAAATGTAATCAACCTGACTGCACTGTTAATTGTTTAGAAGAAGCTTGTGTGTCAGAAAAGCAACAAATAACTGCTGACATCTAGTGGATGATGTAAACATGAGCGCTACTGGGGATGTTCTTCATTAAAGAGCTGCTTGAAAAAAGTTTTAATTTGACAAAAAGATGGAAAATGTCCCTTAAAAAGTAAAAATATTATGTTTAAAATTAAACTTGAGAGTCTTATGAAACATGCAAACAAACATCTGAGAAAAAAAAAACATCTTAATAATCTATGTTTTAAGACTACGTGGCCTGGAGAGTCATGTTTTGATTGATCAAACCATAGTCTGTATAAAAACATGGATGTAGTCTCAATGACCTCACCCATCGGTCTCCAAAGAGACGTTATGAGGCCCAACAATGGTGGTGAAAGAGAAAAAAAAAAAGAACATACTCACTGCTTATTTGGATGTCATGTCCGTGTCTTTAGATTACGGCCATTCTGTGTCAATTTATGAATGCAATATGAAGCTATGAGCTAACCAAAGTGTGCTAACATTAGCCTGCTAACAACAATGCAGGCCACAGGTGATTACAGCAAAAGACAATTTTGTCCGCCTCTTGTGCTTAATGGTGCTTAATTATGGTGCGTTCTAATTCATAACTCGTGTGAACGCGAGCGGAGAGGGATGGAGGAGAGCAGAGGCCTCTATAGCAAATCTGCTGGTGCTCAAGGGCGACATCTACTGGATCAAAAAGTCGCACATCGTTCCTTTACGTGATGCGAAAAGTAACCAGAAACACAAATATACCCAATGAAAAAACAATGATTTTATTTATGTTACCCATATATTTGCATACACATACTCTGAAATATATCAACATTTATGATCTTAGATATAGTGAATACAAATATCCCCAAATCCATGTATATTTTCATATATGTGCAAGATAATAGAACATTTTCCTAAATGATTTCTGCATTCATATGTTACACTATCTGATCCCGGTACTGCACAGTTAATAAATATGGCCTATTTCATTCATTTCTGTCCTGGCTGGGACTGTCCTGCTCCAAACCCTGAGCTAACATGTATTAGACTAACTTAAAGTGGAGTAACCATAGTGACGTTCAGTTTAAAGTGCACACTGAAATATAGAGATTTTAAAATATCTGACAAAGTATTGTTTTTTTAACCTGCTGATAAACCTGTGCAGGTATCATTGCTTTGATAAAATCTGGATATAGCTCATGAATGAAATAGTACATCCACATTAACTGCTGAATAAATACAGTATGTCACATTTCTGTACGTATATATCTTCCTTTGATACATTTACAACTTATCCAAAAGGCAAAAATGGGAAATAAGAGTACAAAAAAGGGGAAAAGAAGCATCCATCCAGATTGTCTGATATGGAGAAACATAAAAAAGAAAACATAAAAAAAGATCCCTTTAAAATAAGAAAAATGGCGATCACAGAGTCCCATGTATAAAATCTTGAGGAAAAAACTGTGCTTTCTTTGAATATTTACAGAATTAGCCATCGTAAAAGCACCTCATCTCACGGCTCTGCTGCAGAGAAATGTAACTGGTCTTTCATTTCAGGAGGCAGAAAGTAAACATCATTGTTCAGACAAATTGGAGAGAAATTTAAGAATCTGCTGCAGAGATCATTTCTGCAAAAACACATCATCAGATGCAGGATGAGGGATTTTAATTGATGGCTATTTCTGTGCTCTTCTAATAAATAGATACAACACAAATCTCAAAAAATACATTTTAAAACATTATTTTCAAATGGCAAAACTATCAAAATTGTCCTCGAACGCGAGCAAGCTTCTCTCCTTTAAAAATGGGGCTGGATTTTTTTTCAGATGCAGTGTTGTGCTGAAACAAACATCCTGCAAACAGACATGCCCAGCTCGATGGCCTTTGATAATTATGGCTGTTTGGTAATGCACATCATCGTTTATGAGCTGCTGATCAGAGGAAAAAACTGTACATTGCTTTGTCCCTTTGTCGAGTTTTTTCAGTTTTCACAACTCTCCTGGAAAAAAAAGTAAACAAATAATTCAACAACAACTCCATGACAAAACAGGTCAGAAATTACAGAACAATATAAATCACGACTGTATGTGCTTGTCTAGTCAACAAATTCCAGCGACGAAATGTGGAGAGCAAAAGACACCAACACAAACTATTTCCTTTTTCTGATTCGACGGCTCCACAACAGAGCGAGAGAGGAATCAAATGAGGGAGAGGAACGATGAAGAGACGGGTCTTTTCACTTGACCTCGAGTCTGAGATGTGCTTGTGTCCGCGTAGTTGCTGGGTTGAACACAGTGAGATCAAAGCTGTGAGGGCGGCGTTTTCCTGTGAGATCTCCTGCAAGAAGCTGCCGAGTGGAAAGCGCTCCTTTGTGAACTTTCTTCTTTGTGCTTGCTCGTCGTATTTTTTAAAAAACAGTGTCACTACACCGCTGTGCTCTTCAGCCAAACAAGTGAAAGTCACAGTGTGTCATTGTGTTTGTGTCCCACCTGTGCACTGTGCCACTGATCTCCCCCCCCGCCCCCCTCCCCCCCTCCCAACACCCCATACCCTCTCCTCCCCTGCACCCGCTCCCCGCCTACTTGTACAGCAGTGGGATCTGGCTGTTGTGACAGTGGTTGCGGCTCATCTTGCTGTCGGCCGGGTACAGGTTGGAGGAGTTGGAGAAGGAAGGAGGGAGGGAGTGATTGTCCGTGGTGGGGTTGGGGTAGCCGGGCGGGGGGAGCAGAGACTTGGGGTCTGGCTGGGAGGAGGGCGGAGGAGTGTTGTGGTTTTGGTTCTGGCCTGAGGAGGGTCGGCGGCGGTTGCGTAGAGCTTGACGCTCGGCCAGCTGGTTACGAAGCGCTGATACCCTTTCTTCTTTCTAAAAGCACAAAGGAAATCATCTTTTTAAAATAATGAAAGGGTGACATTAAATCCCACGTCCCCAATTCAGAAGTAGTCTTTGCAGAAGTGAAACAGTCTATCGAAAGATTAACCACCTGCAACCAGATTGATATTTAATTAGTTGGTTGGTCATTTGAAGATTCCAGCTTCTCAAATATGAGGATTTAATGATTTCCTCATGCAGGATACCTGTCGTTTACTATCAGTTAATAACTTTCTGGGTCGAAAAGATTTCAAAACTTTTCAAGAGTATAGTGCGTGTTCTAAAGCAACTTAAGTAAATACATTTGCAAATAAAGTTGGCAGCACAATGATGCACAGCAGCAGCAGCAGCAGGAAATGGACGAGTTACAGCTCAAGGCTTTTTTAGATGTGAATGTTAAGCGTAATAAGAAACATCAGAGTGCCAATTTCACTGGGTGTCAAGAATACATTCATGACAAATAACTGTATTAAATAACTTGTTTGTTTGAGTCTTCAGCTGAGTTGTGTTGCCTCCACAAACCTCTCACCTGATCTGCTTTTACACTGCAGGTACAATGTCTGTTTTAATGTGTGTGCTCAATGTCGTGTTTCATTATCAATGTATACTTATCATATCGTATCATACAGCATTCCACAATGCAAAGTATGCACTCATAAATACAGTACATTCTATCTGTATAATGAGTACACATCATTACATGGATGTGCATTACTTATCAATCTGCCTCTAGGATGTTTCATAATGTAATCAAGCATTTGCTTGTGCATGTTAATATAAAAACAACAATACTGGGGGGGGTTGAAATCAACCTGTGGCTCCTTTCCCGCACGTCATCCCCGACACTCTCTCTCACTGATTTCAGACTCTATCCACTGTCCTATCTCTCAAATGGTCACAAAAAGCCCCCCCCCCAAAAAAAAAAAAAATCTTTAAAAACAATGATACTTGAGTTTGTGGATGTTATTAAAAAATAATGTCCTCACCTCCTGGATGATCTTCTGCAGCTCCCTGTTCTCTCTCTCCAGCTGTCGTGATTTCTCCTCGTCGTTGTTGTTGGTGGACGAGCCGGTCTTCAGAGTGTCCTGCTGCTCCGACTGCCACTCCCCGCGGGTGATCAGACGCCGCATCTGGACCGCCACAGGAACAGGAAGTCAATAACCAACAAAGACAGGCCTGAGAATACACCGTGCTGAAGGAATAATGCATCTATTGAGAACATATTCTTTAGCATGTGGAGCCCTTTCAGCCAGATCTTTTTTTTTTTTTTTTTTTGAATGTCTAAGAGTGGACAAAGATTTCTTTCACTACAGTCGACTTTAAAGTGACAAAAACATATTTTCTTTCTTATTCTGGTGACATCTTTGGAGCTCAGTATTGCTGCTGTGCGCTTCCAGAAAACGATTTTAAAAATCACACAAATCTTACATGTATGTTTTCCTCTCTTCCCTCTTCCTCCCCTGAGATATTCTCATTTTAGTGAGGTTTAAATCTCTGTAGGTGGCGCTCTGTCCTCTTTCTAACCAGACCTCAGCAGTGCTCATGTGCACTACCAGGCTCGTCTATTCCTAAAATAATCATCAGAGCTGCTGCCAGACATGCAGCAAAATATCTCACTTTGTTTGTGCCAGGAGGATTTTTTATTCTGACACGAATGTTGACAGCAGCTACACATCAAAACGCTTCTAACTGTAACGACGATTACCAAAACATTAAACGAGGAACAGATGAAAGATCATTATTTTTATGAACATAACTTTTTTTCATGTTAAGTTACTTGATTTCTGTTTCTCCTATACGTGTGTCTTTTGAGCTCTAAGAAGCTGCTGTCCCTCGAATAGGATCAAAACATTCCTTCTGTCTTTCTTCATATTTGAATCAAAGTCAATCCTGCAAGTTTTATGAAGCAGAACTTTGACACACAACAAAATAACGTTTCTGAACTTTATGATATCTGTGCACCAAGCATGACACACAGATCTTTCTTTTCCTTGTTTTTCAATGCAATTTAAATGTTGTCTGTATTGTGTGCAGCCGTTTCTTAAAGGTGTCAGTGAAGAGTCGGAGCACCTTTGGCACAAAAAGCACCACCAGGGTGATGTAGGCAGAGAAGACGATTGCTAGAGAGGCAAAGGCAAAGGAGGCGTCCTGCTGTGAAGTCAGGATCATAGTGACTGGAGCCGTGATCAGACACAGCACCTGCAGAGAGACAGAGAGAGGGAGAGGGGGAGGAAGAGAGGGGGAAGGGGAGAGAGAGGGGGAGAGGGAGAGAGAGAGGGAAGGGGAGAGAGAGAGGAAGGGGAGAGAGAGGGGGGGGGGAGGGAGTGAGGGGGGGAGGAGAGAGGGGGGAAGGAGAGAGAGAGAGATAGGGAGGGAGAGAGAGAGAGAGAGAGGAGAGAGAGAGAGGGAGGGAGGAGAGAGAGAGAGGGAGGGAGAGAGAGAGGGGGAGAGAGAGAGGAGGGAGAGAGAGAGAGCGGAGGGAGAGAGAGAGAGGGAGAGAGAGAGAGAGAGGGAGAGAGAGAGGGGAGAGAGAGAGGGAGGGAGAGAGAGAGCGGGAGGGAGAGAGAGAGGGGGGAGAGAGAGGGGGAGGGAGAGAGAGAGGGGGAGAGAGAGGGAGAGAGAGCGGGAGGGAGAGAGAGAGAGGGGAGAGAGAGGGCGGAGGGAGAGAGAGGAACAGAGAGAGAGAGAAATGATAGAGAGAAAGAGACAGAGAGAGACAGAGAGAGAAAGGGAAAGTGAAAGAGAGAGAGAGAGTGAGAGAGAGAGAGAGAGAGAAGTGTTAACAAAGGGAGAGTGGAGCAGTAAAGAAAGAAGGAGGCAGGGTGAAGATTGTTGGGGGGGGGTTTAGAGGAGAGGAGGGGGAGAGTAAAGGAGTATATGAGAGCGAGAGTATGAGAGGGGAGGAAAATCACATCCATAAAAGCATTAGGCATCTGTTTATCATTCCGAAGAGGGCTCCCGTGTGAAAACAGCATTAAAAAGTCATGAGTGAAGTTGCGACGGCGTGCTGACAATCACCACGTTGTCATATCATCGCAGCCTCGAGCTCACAGCTTCGCGACGAGGAAAGAGGTCCCTTTACGGACCCCATTAACTATTGACATCGTCATAAAAATGAGATGTGTGCGTATCGTCAAATAAAATAATAACATTAGACTTGTGGCACATTATGAAAGCACGGGATGAAATGAGCACACGGGCCGCGCTCACTGCTCTCATAAACAAACTACGAGTAATGACGATCGATGATGAATTCTCATATTGATAAACGACGCGTGTTCAATCAATTTATTATTACATTTCAACAAAGTGATAGCTGATGAAAGTCCTCACGCCTCCTGTGACTTGTATCCATAAAATTCTATCAGAATGGATGTTAACGACTGTAAAACAAAGACAGGGAAATGTTTGCTCGCTTTGGATCAAAACAGAGAAAACTCTCGTGGCCGTTAATGCGTCAGAAAGCGTTCTCCCGAGACATTTGACATCAATTACAAAGTTACCCCGTGTCGAGGGTGTCAGGGAACGGCAGCGACTGTTCATCTAAAGTGGCTGAAGTGAACTTAATCGCAGCTATTCCCGTGTAAAGTGCATCCTAGGTGCGCCCGTTTAAGATGATTCACCTGCTATTAACAGCCACAGAAAAATGGTTGACAGATGGCAGATTTAACCACTGTACTTTACAGACTAAATGGGTTTTTTTTTTCTTCACTGATTCCTCCTATAGGGCAAAGCAACATCTTTATAAACTGTGAATCTTCACGCAATCTCTGTCGGCCCAAACACAGATTTCTTCTCATATACATGCTCAGGACTGAATCAATAAATCCCCAGCACTCAGGGCCCTGCAGCAACAGTAAAAGTTTTCTACTCGCCCTTTTTCATGTTTTATTGATTTTATTTAACATGTTCTTCACCAGAAAGTCCCCCCCCCCCCAGGGATCAAGATCTCATTTCATAAAGGAGACCTGAGATACGACTGTCGGTATCACCGCACCACGGGCACAATAAGCATCAGAATTTATGATTCATACAAGACAGCAGCGTGTGCTGGCAGTGTAATGATTTGGACAGAAATGCGTTCAGGGATCAGCATTTTAGAGAATAAAAATCTCACAGCGTACTTGTAGAAAAGACTTGAATATTTCATATATGAGCCCATCTGTGTGTGTCGTAAGGGTAAAACTGATCATTATACCAACATGTCCTTTTCAATATTTTATATCAGACTATCAATGTGTGATGTTCAGCATATCTCAAAGGTTGTTTATATTCTGTTGTTCCCACAATGCACTTCTTCTTCTTGGTGTATGATTTTACTGACTTCCTCCATTGGAAGTATTTCAACGTGTTTTCCTGTCACATTTAACCAGTTATCTGCTAAAATGAGAAAATAAAACACACCAGAGCGGCGCAGAGAGAGCATCAAGTTATTTATAAACTCCATTAACTTTCACTGCAAAGAGAAAAGCCCTTGAGAATGAAGCTTTTAGGATCTTGCAGTGGAAATGTCTCCTAACTGGTCAGTTTCCTTCTTCTCTCTGGAAGTTGCTTCTTAAAAGCCAGAGATCACAGCACCAAGCAAAGTAAGCATGAAGCATTGATTAACCCCCCCTAATGATATACTACAGTACTTTTGTTCTATGGGGCAATAAACCGGTACTTATGCCACTTTAATGTTGTTGTTCATGCTGCAGAAAGCTCTTTGCAGAGAGCTGCAGGACGCAGAAAAACAGGAGCATGATGGTGGTGTTGTTTTATTGGGTTTTTCATTTTGTGACTCACAGCGACGTTGTAAATAGCCATCCCCACAGCCCGATGGTCATTGATCTTCTCAGTGGAGACTGACTTTGTCTCGTAAGCCAAAAAAATTCCTAGAAGCAGCAGCAGACCCTTGTAGCCGTAAACAACACCTGTAGGAGGAAACAGGGAGAGAACGCGGGTAAGACGAGGAAAGAGTGCAGCCATGTCTACATGACAATGTTGATTACATTATATGATGTGTTTACTGCAGCTGATAGAGTGAAGCACAGTGTATGTACACAATGTAAAACTAAAAAAACAAGGGGGGGGGGTGTTTTATTATTTTGAAGGAATTAAAGATTGAGAGATCAGGGGGGCCGGTAGCCTAGTGGCTAGTGTTCACGCACTATGTGCAGAGGCTGTGGTCCTCCGGGTGGGCGAGTGGAGAACGAAATACAGGAAAGGGGCCACAGGTCGGACCCGAACCCGGTCTGGCCGCTTGGTTGACTACAGCCTCTGCACATGGGGGTGCACCAGTTCACCAACCACTACGCTACTGGCACCCCAAGAAATGAGGGATTTTACTGACACCAGTATAAGATAAATGAGGAGTTTCTTTGAGCTGCTAATCAAGCAAAGATACTCCAGAGGTTTCACAGACTGACAACATGAGAGGTCAAAGATGAGGATGATGTGACTTATTTAAATCTATAGAAAGAGTCATTCCTTAAGGTCATGGTCTTGCTTGCTTTTGTAACCAGCTAAAAACTACTTAAAAGAGCTTTGACACATACTGTATTTACACTGAATTTACCACGTTGTTGTCTTTGGTGCCACCTATAGGCAGTATTTATACAGGCTCAGAGAGCTGATGGACTCTCAGCATTGTTACCCAAAAAATCCTATCTCTCTCAACAAGTGTAATACTTAATTACTTAATTTGAGTACTTCAAAATGTACAAATCAATCTCATTATGGGATTTGTATAATCATCGGATCATGTAAATGGCAAAACATGGCTTTAAGAGTAGGAGACAGTAACACTGTGAAGAGCTCGATGCAGCCGCAGAGAGAGTGAGTGTGAGTGAGTGCAGTGGGAGAAACTAAAAGTGTACTACAATAGATGGAAGAATATGTTAAAAGCCTGTCAGAGGCAGGCAGCCTGACAGAATAAAGAGAATATAACAGTGACAGAGAGGGAAGCAGAGGAGCAAAGAGAAATGTGTGACGGAGTAAGTTGGACACTTCTTCAGACTGTCCATTGTTTCTTTACCCCGCCTGATATTAAGGCACCATCTTTTCTTCCCTCTGAAAGGAAATGCTACGGGGCAATGGCCCAGTTTGTGACCCACATTATTTGAATTTCAGCACCATTATACTTTCATAAGAGCTGCCACGCTAAGAGAGACAGACATGGAGGGAGAGCGAGAGCGTGGGCCGACAAAAAGAGAAGCAAAGTGGGAGAAAAGAGGAATCAAATGTAAGGGGGGAGGGGAGGGAGGTGCTGAGGGAGGAGGCTGTGATATGAGACCTGTTTAATTCACAGTGAATGAAAGTGACGTGTGTGTGAATGTGAATATGTGTCTGCATATGTGCATGCGTGTGACAAAGCACCCATAAACCAGAGCGGGGAGAAGAGCGATAAAGAGACAGATTGAAGTAGGAGAGAGTTGAAACCAGTACCGAGCCATGTGTTCATTTTCTCCGAGCTGCAGTGCTCCAACAAGGGCTGAATCAGGACATCCTTATCTTCTTTAGGGGCCTCTTTAGTGAACTTCTACTCACACGGCAGACGGCAAGACGAGGGTAGAGAGGAGTGGAAGGGTTGAAGAGAGATGGAGGGAAAAAAGAGAGAAGAGGAGATAATGAGAAAAGATGAGAAAGCCTGGCAAGAATGCTGAGTAAGCATAAGCCCTAGAAACTGCACGCTTGATCCCCTCAAGTAAATAGGTCCCTCCCGTGAGTCAGCTATAGATGACTCTGACTTAAAAGAGTATCAGATGTCCAATAATATGAAATATAGCTTTTTAAAGATTTAATTCAAGGTTGGACTGGAGTCGATGCTGTGCAGATAAAGGCTGATGAGGACAATGCAGCTTTCTCTTAGAGCTGAAACAGTGCAGCCTACATACATGATTTGTACCAAATCAAGGTTTAGATGACTTTTATATGATATTAAAGTGTCTTTCAAATCATTAAAACAGCTACACATAACATCACCATGCCAACAAAAGACCCCATGACAGTGAAAAGCATCAGTCACAGTGCTAACACCGTTTCTCAGCAGGTCCACGTGCAGCAGCTCTGTGGAGTGTTTTAACATCTTTCAGCTTACGTTTTAGAGGTTTTTTTTTTTTAAGCCTGCCCCTTTACTGTTACCGTTCACTTGTTCTGTTTTTAAGTTGTCGCTAGCAGCTGTTTGCTCTGATAATTCACTGTACTCTCGCTACTTAGCAGTAAACAGCAAACGGAAAAGTTAGCATCTAGCTCGTTAGCCTAGCATTGAGCAGCATCTAAGAAAAAGCGGGAAAAAAAAAAACAGGTAACAGTTGGTGGAGAGATGGAGAGAAAAAGCAGAGCTAAGAGGAGAGTGATTATTCAGCCTGAAGTTATCAGTCAGATAAAAAAAAAAAACGACTCCAAATCAAAGCTCTCTTTGTCATTTCTGATTAAGCTAACAGGCTAATGTTATCATTGTAAAGGTGACACTTCTATAATAAATTAGCTACATGAGCTATTCAAACATCTTTATTACTGTAAAAAGTTTTATTGTTTTATCTGTATGCATAAGATCATTGGCTGGCCACTAGAGGGCAGACAACTTTGAAAACAAGCAGACCATGTTAGCATACGTGACTTAAACGTTTCCTCCTTGTCCAATGACAAGTTACAGCATTTATTTTGTGTTGTTCTTACTACTCGATCAATCTTAGTCGTGTACTCTCTCTCTCCAGTTCTGCTTTGATCTCCACCAAATCTTGACAGAGATATCTGTCTCTCAAACTTCTAAATGTAACACTATTTCGACCAGATAGTCTGGTGTTTTTCAAAGTAGGGGTCCTGACCCCCTTGGAGGTCCCAGATACTTGGGGGGAATGGAACAAAAATAAATCATCATCGATCATCTGTGAAAATGACATTTAAGAAAATGTGTTTGAGATGTTTTTAATCACTGCGTATTACATTCTGTTCTAATATGGATTGATGGTAAATCAGAGATTACAAAAGACTGCGTACAAAAAAAGTTATTGAATGATAAAAATACGATTATTAATTGTGAATATAAAGAAGAAAGTCCTTGGCTTGGCAAAGTTTGAGAACCCCTGAGCTAGTCCATTACAGTACCTGCGTAACAAGCCTACATTATATGTGCTGTAAATCCAAAACAATGAGCTAAAGGGACCTAAATATACCAAAGAGCTGGAGACTTTGTGAGTTAAGGGGTGTTTTCTTTTATGTAAATGGGTGTATCCCATTTCTCGATCGTTAAAAAATGAAAATGTGGATAAATGCAAGATTAATGAAAGATACATTTTTTATGAGGCAGGGAGTTGATTCAGATTTGCTGCCACAGTCAATGCCTCGGGGTACCTTTAGAGGTGCTTATAAGACAATCAAAGGCGAATAAATATAATTATTCAAGTCATAAATGTCAACGTTATAGCACTGCTGTTCAGACAAACACATGCTCTTTCTTTTTGTTTCACACTGGGTTCTTTGGTAATAAGATAAATCGAATTAAAGAATATTTTTTCCAAACCTCGTCTCATTTCTGTGTAAGCGGCTGGTTAGTCGCTGCATAAATCGGTCTGTGCAAAAAGGGCTATGACGGACAAATGATCTCATCTGTCTGTCGTACTTTACCTCATCGGTAACATGCAGAGGATCCACAATCTGCCAGATCATGAGTGACAGGAAGTCGATAGCCAGCAGCACTCCAACTGTTGCGTAGAGTTTCCATGGCTCCAAGTGTTGCTGTGCGAGCAGAGACACACACACACACACACACACACACACATTCACAACAGTCATCACTATCCATGGGCATCATGAGCCAGTCCATAAACAAAGACAAACAACCAGGACAAATAATACGACGGGCGTCCTTGTGATTTCTGGCTGACTGGGCGTGAGATGTCTTCTCAATGTGTGTGTGTGTCTCAGAGTGTGTGTGTAAAAGTGTGTGTGTGTGTGTGTGTGTGTGTGTGTTTCCACATGTATTTTAGGAGCAGTGGGAGATTGTGTGTGTCTGGGAGCTATATTTGTGCTGCATCCTCAAATCATCATTCATACACTCTGAGATGACGCCGCTCATGTGTGGACTGTTCCTGAAGCGGCCGATATAAACTGTATTCTTCTGCTTAAGTTAAGCTATAAAGGAAGCAATGCAACCGTAGCAGAAAACAAGCAAAGGAAAATGAGCTCTCCCGCTGCGTCTTTCCACACGCCTTTTTTTTTTTTTATTTATTCCACCACGCCGGCTTACTCCCAGCACCTCCGACATAGTAACAGCCGTTCAAGCGTAGAATGACTAGAACTGAAATATAAAATAAAGAAGAAAACACATTACACAGTCGTGAGCGCCTCTACACTTGAGTTGCATGAAAAATGATTTGAAAGGCACTCATTCTCTCCTCCGTGTGTGAAAGTTTCTTTAAATACTCATAGGGAGACTCGCTCTCTGGGAAAATGTCCTTCTGTGGACACGACGGGACATGAAAGTCAACTTGATTCGATGTGCTTTGGCTCAAATAATAAACCCCCCCGAAGGATGGATTTCTATATAGAACTTTAATACTCATCCATATTCATACATATTCCATAAATGGCTTAATCTCTTATTCTTCTGATTAGGTCTTGGAAATTTCCACAACAAATCGCAGACTGGCACTATCTTGTTGGCTCCAGGATACACTATTTTTAAGACGAAGCACACACACATACAAAAAAACAAACACCCACTCAT